TGGCAGCCCCAGTCATTCCTTGGCTTGTGGCAGCGTAACTCTATTCTCTGCCTCCATCTCCACATGACTGATTTCCTTCTGTTTAGGTCTGACTCCGCATCTTTGGTCTTCTTTTTATAAGGACACCAGTCATATTGAATTAGAGCCTACCCTACTCCAATATGACCTCATGTTAACTTAACTCATTACATCTACAAAGACTCTATTTCCACATAAATTCACATTCACAGGTACTGGAGGTTAGGACTTAAACATATCTTTTCGTGGTTGTTGTTAGGTCTCATTGAGTTGATTTTCGACTCATACATAGCAACCTGAAGTCACAGAGCAGAAGTGCCCCATAGGATTTTCTAGGCTGTAATCTTTACAGGAGCAGATGGCCAGGTCTTTTCTCCCATGGAGCCACTGACTGGATTCGAACCACCAACCTTTCAGTTAGCAGTCGAGTGCTTAACTGTTGAGCCACTAAGTCTCCTTACATATCTTCTTTTTTTTTGGGTAGGGGCAACAATTCAACTTATAACAGAGGAGATACATAAGCAGGGAGGCATTTCTGGAAAGGAGACAAGGCAAACGAATAGACTCAAAGTGTGTCTTTTGCCCTTTGACCTTATCATTTTCCCTGCCTAGAATGTGGGTGTGATGCTGGAGGCATACCAGTCATCTTGTCACCACAAATTGATAAGCTTAAACATGAAAGCCATATGATAAGGCTGGCTAATGCCTATTGAAAAGCCAATAAACACTTTAATAAAAAAGGCATTTACGAGGAAAAAAGGGGGCACCAATCAAGGAAGTTACCTGAGGACTCTATGTCCCATCCCACCCTGACCAATAAAACATTATCAGTTCACAGAGACTTCTCTAAATGGAAGACAAAGAGAAAATGCATTTTAGACTGTCAAAAGGCTGAATGGAATACAGTATGATCTGAGATTACAGAAGAGTCAAGAAAAATCACACTGAAATGACTTGTTTTCTCTGAAATTGAAAAAGTTATTTCAATAAGTCATGATTTGGTTATAGAAAACATACTTCACTCTTGATTGTTTAAGTAGAGAGGGCTTTATTACAGCATTTCAATGGCTTATAGAATTGTTGGGAAGGCTGAAGTAACAGAATTTGATTTGAGAAGTGACTTCTGAACTACCCCACAAATTTCGTCCACTTAGAGAGCCACTGTCTCATTCATGATCAGGAAGCCTACAGGCCCAGAACCACACTACCACTGCCATAATCAGTAAGATTCCACACCAGGAAGCTGTTGCCACCGCTGCCAGCTATAGAACCAAGCCACTCCTAACATGGCCACTACCAAGATGCATGATCCTCACCATGTCAGTAGAGGAAGATACAGACAGGAAGTGAAGCCGAAACGAATGTTGAGGGCCAATGCACCATATCCACTAGGGCTGGGATTAGAGTGAGGTGAATGAGGCATCAAGAGCTCAAAAGCTGAGGTGGCACCCACTTTCAGGGTCATGCATCTCCTTAATTTTTGTACCATAGGTACCCCCCTCTCCTTAACCTAGTCTTGGCCCTGGTGTCCACCACACTAATGGAACAAGACGGACTGGTTTTACAGTACATGCAAATAGTAAAACTAGAAGTAAAATTAGAAATGGCTAAAACAGTCTAAGGGGCACTCTTCAATAATTTTTGTGGTTGTTAAATGTGTGTTTAAGGGAAATGTTTTGACCTCTCTAATCAAAGTTTAAGCAACTCAGGCTATGTATAGCAGAAGCTACTGAGGAACTGCATCACACCCCCTCAGCCCAACTCTGATTTCAGCTGTAGCTGTGTTGGATAATTCTGAGTGATCTCAGACTCACCTGGAATTGAAAGCTTGCTACCTCAAGTATGCACTGACCCTCTACCTGCCCCCGGGCTTTCTCAAAAGCTTCAGGAGACCATTTGTATCCTATACAAGTGCAGCCTTCAAAGAGTTAATGGCTGCAGGGTCAATACCAATGGGGAGATGGATCCAGTCTCAATGGCTAAATGTTCCAGTCCAGGGCTTCTCAAACTATCTGTGGTGGAGAACTAGTTTTCTTCCTTTCTTTTTTCCTTTTTACGTTTTCATCCATAGTGAACCAATATTTTTTTTTCTTTTTTAAATATTTTATTGTGTTTTTAGTGAAAGTTTACATAGGAAATTAGGTTCTCATTTAATAATTTCTATATATATTGTTCAGTGACACTGGTTACATTCTTCACAATATATCAGCATACTTTTTTTTATTTTTTATTTTTAACATATATTGTTATGAGACCCCAACCACTCACCCCATTCTGTGACAGCACGCTCCTCCCCTCTGCCCCTGATTCCCCATGAACATTCAACCAGCTCCTAACTCTCTCTGCCTTCCCATCTCACCTCTGGACAGAAGCCGCCCCTTTGGTCTCTTGTATCTATTTGTCTAAGAGGCACATTCTTCACTAGTATCACTTTATATCCCACAGTCCAGTCCAATCTCTGTCTGAAGAGTTGGCCTCAGAAATTGTTTTAGTTCTGGGGCGATGGAGAGACCAGGGGCCATGCTTTCCAGGGCACCTCCAGTCTTAGTCAGACCATTAAGTTTGGTCTTCTTACTCGAATTTGAGTTCTGCATCCCATCGTTCTACTGCTCCATCGGGACCCTCTGTTGTGTTTCCTGTCAGGACGTTCATTGGTGGTAGTCGGGCACCATCTAGTTCTTCTGGTCTCAGGCTGATGAAGTCTCTGGTTTATGTAGCCCATTCTGTCTCTTGGGCCAATACTTTCCTTGTGTCTTTGGTGTTCTTCGTTCTCCTTGATGTATCTTAGATGGCCCCTTGCAAGCTTAAGACCCTAGACGCACTCACCAAAGTAGGATGCAGAGCATTTTCTTAATAAGTTTTGTTATGCCAATTGACATAGATGTCCCCTAAAAGCATGGTCCCCAGACCCCCCATCCCTGCTACTCTGTCTCTCAAAGTATTTGATTGTACTGAGGAAACTTCTTAGCTTTGGTTTAGTCCAGTTGTGCTGGCTTCCCCCGTAGTATGTGCTGTCTTCCCCTTCACCTAAGATGATTCTTATCTACTATCTAGTTAGTGAATAACCCTCACCCTCCCCCACTCCCATAACCATCAAAGAATGTTTTCTTCTGTGTTTAAACCTTTTCTTGAGTTCTTATAATAGTGGTCTTATACAGTATTTGTCCCTATATAACTGACTAAATTCACTCAGCATAATAAGTTCTAGCTTCCACCAAGTTATACAGTGTTCCACAGCTTCATCATTTTTATCGTTGCATAATATTCCATTGTATGGATATACCACAGATTGTTTATCCATTCATCCATCGATGGGCACTTAGGTTGCTTCCATCTTTTGGCTATTGTGAATGGTGCTGCGATGAACATGGGTTGCATATCTCTATTTGTGTGACGGCTCTTGTTTCTCTAGGATATATTCCAAGGAGCAGGATAGCTGGATAGTATGGTACTTCTATTTCTAGCTTTTTAAGGAAGCGCCAAATCGACTTCCAAAGTGGTTGTACCATTTTACATTCCC